CCCCCCCCCCCTCTTAGGAGAATTCATCCTCAAAAAACACACTGGATGCTGCACTAGGTCAGAAACCAGAGGAGACTGTGAAGTCCACCGTAGACTTACCACTTTTGGACAAAATGTCCTCTCCATTAAAGGCAGCTCATTGTGGAATAGCCTCCCAACTGAGATACGGGATTGTCCCACTCTCAATAGCTTCAAAGGTCAACTCAAAGAATGGTTGAGAAACAACCAGATGTGTAATCACCGCTAAATGCACTTTAACACAGGGGTACCTCCTCTTGCACTTTATGCATCTCTTGTATCTTCTCTTGCACTTTATATGTCTTTGCTGCTATATTGTCCTACCATGTAATAAATACTTGTGTATGCTGCTCTTGCGCTTTTGCACTTTTTGCACATCATGTATTTGTTTTTGCTATGTTTGTAAAATGTCATTTTCTTAAATGTTTTATGTGAGGGACTGCGGATGGAAATGAGCTCAAAGCTAAACTTGGCATATTTACACTTGACACATTTTATTGTTTTAAGTCTTCATTGATGTGCATTGTCCCTGCTAAATAAACTATTAAAATACACGTGTTTTTTTTCAAAAGGCTTCAGCTCAAAAATAATTGATATGATCAGGCCATGTGAGCGCTCTTTTCTGAATGAAGGCTGAGTGTAATTGCTGTCTTTTGTAAGTGACATTAGCATCCTCTGAGGTTTCATCACAGAAAGTAATTAGTGTTTTTTCCACAGAAAGCAGTAAGTGATTATACTCTGTGTTCTTCTGTTTATATTTTAGACTCCCACATCGAGAGGGTCAGTGAGATCATCTCCTAAGCAGGAGCCAGAAGAGGTGAGCTGTTAGTGCCTCTGATGAAAGAACATCCCTGATTGTTTGTTTCTCCCATCACTCGTGTGTATTCTTATATATCTGAACATCTCAATCAAGAAAAAGACTGGAGACAGGGTCATATGATATAGTGTGTGTAAATTAAAGACAGTTTGGATCTTTTGAAGCACAGTAGTACATCTCTATATCTGTAGTTTTTATTCTTGTTTATTTTGTGTTCTTATCTTTATTTGTTTTTGTTTTGTGAGCTGCGCTGTGTGATTTTGTAGTTCTCTGTACAGCTCTTTGGTCTGGAGGTTTTGAAGTGCTCTATAATAGTGTTGGATTGGATATATTACTTCTCCATAGTCAGTGTTTCACTTAGTAGATTGTGGTCGGCATGCCCCCGGTTTGTTTTGAACAAGTGAGGAGTAATTCAAAGTTAAACATACTTTAGCCCCATAACAAGGCCCACCAAAAATAAAAAAATAAATCACAGTTGAAGTGTATGCTCTATTTATCATTTCACCACTTACAGTTAAATTGCCCCTTCTGAATGGGAACTGAAGCAGGGTTCGTACGGTCATTAAATACCTGGAAAAGTCATGGACATTCAAAATGCAAATTCCAGGCCCTGGAAAAGTTATGGAAAACAATATTTTTCCTAAAGTTTCGGAAAAGTTACAGTAAAAGTCCTGCATTCAAAATGTTCCTCAAGTAAAAGTAGAAAAGTATTATTCAAAATATAGTGAAAGTAGCGACAGTAAAAGTAGTGATCGTGCAGATTGGTCCATTTCAGAATAATATATATGATATGTTTTATAATGATTGATCATGAAAGTGTTCTCAAAGCTGGTAAAGGTGCAGCTAGTTTGAATGACTTTGTATACTGCAGGGTAGCTTGTGAATTTACTCCAGGTGGAACTAAAGTCTGATTTAACACTTGATTATATTTCACACCATTCATCCACATCTGTAAAGTAACTAAAGGGATTAAATACCATTTACCTCTGAACTGTAGAGGAGTAAAATAACAAAGTAGCAAAACATTGAAATACTTAAGTTAAGTCCAAAGCATGTCAAAATTGTACCCACGTATAGTACTTGAGCTTATGAAGTTAATTACTTTACACAACTGCCTATAAAGATAGAAAGACTAAGCCTTGCACAGAGGCATGAAAATACATTTTGAAAATG